GCATGCTGCTCATTTTATCGCCCCACTGTAGCATTGAAAGACTGAGTCAACCATGCCCGAACCTTGGACCTGTTGCTTATGAGAGAAATATATATAATATATATATATATATCAAATCTGAACAATTTTCTAAAATAAACTATTTGGAACAAAATGCTAATAATCTGAGATTTCTTTGAGATACCTCAAAACAGTGGAATCTCTCAATTTTAATCTAGTTTGTTTTAAAATGTATTACCCTGAGCAATTGATGTTATTTTTCTTTACTAGTAGTATTTTTCGAAAAATTTATTTAACTGAATGGCTTTATATAGAAGAAGGAATACTCTTAAAGCCATAGTTCAATATTTAACGAAATTAAAACTCTTACGAAAGCTACATTAATTGTATGCGAAAAATTCAACCATTTTTGAATACCATGTTTGCAGACTTTAAATGCATTTAAAAAAAGTAGCTTCTTCGAAAATAATTCTGGGTGCCAGTAACTCTTACTCCAATTTTTGGTAAATTTTAGAAATTAAAAACATTTTAAAAATTAAAAACTGGCTACTACTGACGTAATACCTAGTTTTTACTTTCTAAAAAAATTTCAAACTTATGAAAGTTACTGAAAATCCTTGTAAGAATAAATAACCCTTTCACAAATATTATTATAAAACTGTTTGATATTTTTCAGTTGAGTTGTATGCGTGTAAGTTCTGCAACTACGACATTTGAAAATGGGGGGAAATAGAATTGCCATTTACTCACTGATAAATGTTTAAATAAATTGAAGAAAATCGTTAGTTACCGTACAAAAAATGCTGTTTTGAAACACCGTCACTTAAAATGCGTAAAATCTTATTTCTTTCATTAATTCATTGCGATTGAAAAGATTAAGTATTTCATTATATAAATAAGCAAGATAATCTTTTAATACGATGTTCTCACATATGTAAACTATTAAAGTTTTTCTTTAAAAATGAAAATCTATATTTCGAAAGTTAACGTTGTGTAAAGATTGTATTATCCAAGTTCCAGAAAGGAGTAGCCATTGTGGCGACAAGATCGGGAGTTTTACTGCCAAGGGGAACAATCCAAAATTTGCTTAATGCAAATGTATTCTATATTTAGCATCGCAAGGCTGAGGACAATGAAAAAGCTTTTTGTGATGTGCCAAGCACTGTTTTCATTCTTCTCACTTTTGACTGCAGATCCTATCGTCATTCATTTCACCCTTTTTGCACGCGCCAGTGTCAAAACGTTTCCAATTTGTGATTCTCATCATAGATTTGCTGAGAGTTTTTCAAGAACATTATAACAGAGTCTAATGAAATCGAATTTGATTGTTGTGTGGCAATAATTTTAAATGAGACGGGATAGCCTGGGTAGCAGGGCTCTGGACTCACGTTTGTGAGAATGGGAGTTCGAATCCAGGCGGCCGATGACTCCCCGTGACTGGTGCACGTTCAATCTGTCGGGTCAAAAAGTCCTCCATGTTCCCATAAACAATTATACGTCTGGGGGTACTGAATTGAAGACGGATCGTTGTCTGGTTCAGGTCAAAATTACGATCTGTAGATGAAAAAATGGATGCATGAATGGGTCCACCCTATAAACGGGAGTGACGTATGGATGTGGTAGATGTTAAATTCTTGGCCATGGATGGCGCCACTAGAAAGCAAGAACAATCACCCCTTGCCTTAATGGCCTACGACAGCAACAATAATTTAAATTTTTGACTTAAAAATTAGTTTTTTCCCCTTTATAGTTTTTTTTTTCTGGCACAAGTGCTTAATTTTGAAGAATGTTGATTTAGACTCGCTATACATGATTCTAGCATTGCACGCAGCATAAACTTACATGTGTCGATCTTCGTTATCTATTAAGAAAATATTTGATTTCAATTTGAATTGACGTTTGAAAAATTAAAAGGCTGAAACAGGCATTTAGCAATAAACATTTGCTACGATCAACTCTTAAGTTCATCCTTTTCTTCCAGAATACATTTATTTTATTCTCAGAATGCTGTTCAAGCTTCTACAGCAATGCTTTCACCGCTTAAAAGCGGGATAACACGTACTCTCGTGAAATGCAACACTAAAACAAAAAGTATTCTTATAAATCCTTTAGCCTCTTATGGATTCCTACTTCAAGTACAAATTCTCGTGTGTAAATGCGAAATATTAGATTAAATCCTAATTCACGTGATATATAAATCTCTGTGATAGCATCCGTACGAGATTTCATCGACATAAAACTTTGGCCCCTTGCCTTCATTTAAAAGGATTCTTTCAACTTAAGAGCAGACTTACACTATTTAGCATAGGTCTTTCTGACCAATATAAATTTCAAACATTGCTATTTCCTTTTATATGGGATTGCTTTTGGAAATGGCATCCAACTTTACAAACTCATTTAGTTTACGAATAGATTGAACTGCTTTGATTGAAGAAATTGAAGGCAGTCTTTCTCCAGTTTACAAAGGCATTCCTCGTACTCACACGTTAAAAGTTTGTACAGAGGTGATAAAAATGTATGTTAACAAGTACAAAGAGGCATAACACGTTTCTAACGATTGTGTTCCCAGAAATAGGTTTAAAAGATGGTGGGAGCATAATCCGCACGACGGCTATGGTTGAAATCATTGTACGTTGAGATTTCAAAGAGCCTGCCATCTCAACCATTCTATTAACAATCTTTATATAATTCTATTTTGTGTTGTGATCTCACAAGAGGTGTTGCAAGCAAGTTTTCAAGTAATGAGTATTCATATAAGTAGTTATTACTGTGATTTGGCAGTTTTACTTATCCTATACGTAAGTTTCGAAATAATGGGTTACAACTAATCACATGGTTGTGGCTAATTGCGTGTTTGTGCATGGCTTGTTAAAATTCTAGCTTTAAGCCTTGGTTTTCTTATTACGCTTAATCAATTTTCCAATCAAATTTAATTGGATGCCTGCAAACCACGTCACGCGTGTGTGAAGAACCTGGTTGACTGATTCGTGCATGGTATCGCTTGCAAGTATCTAATTAACCAATTTTACGAACAAAACAATCGATTGCTATAGCTTACATTACTATTTTATCAATCGTTTTTGTCTATCCAAATATTGCCATGGTGTTGGCAACCATCCTTTTGCCTGCTCTATAACAAACCCTAAATTTTGCTGTAATTTTTTTTATTATCATTATTTTTTGGCTTGATGGATACTAATAATCTAACCATATCATCTAAGCAAATTAGAAATACCTCATATTTATCTGAGGTAACATCAGACTGTACTCCAAACTAAATTAAGATAGATAAAACTTTATTATTGTAAATATATTCACGCTATATAAGTGTCGAAACAACTAAAAAAAAATTATAAAACTTTATACATTTTATTTGCTAAAGTGTTTTTGGAGACATATGATACCAAGTCCACTCTTAACTAAGGCTCCTATACTCCAATTCAGGGGCTCTACTCCTAAAGACATAGTAATTATACATCAATTATCGGTTACTTAAAAGTGACGTCATCGTAAGAAATCGTGACATTTGTCGATTCAGAAGCCAGTCAGTTTCGTTTACTCGCGTGACGTTGCTTACAGATATCTAATTAAATTCAATTTAAATCACATAGTTAGGCATAATCACTTCACTTTTTCTCGAGTTGCAAAGATCCAGTTTCTAGTGAAATTAACTTCAACGTAGTATGCTTAGGCTAACCTTAAAAAATAGCATTTCTTAAGAAGTGTTGCCACAGATGAAATGGTTCATGTTCCCTACTTCAAAAAGTTACGCTCTAAATTATATTTATGTACAAATTAAACAGTACTTAACGTTATTATTTTTCTTTTTACAGCCAGTGGAGAAAGTCAGAAATCACAGAGCTATTGGAACATTTCTCTGGACTTGGATCTGTTACAAACAATCGTCAATTTTTACCCAGAGTGGTTCAAAGACTGCAACATGAATGCGGTTGCTGAGGGCAAAGATACGGACTCCATGTGTCTCACCTCCGCTGACCTAAAAAATTCTATCAAATTACAAAACGGCGACTCTCTACACAGGCTTCTAGACAAGAACAAAGAATGTAAGAACACAACATATGTAGCATGACTCCACATTGCTCTGTGCACATTAGGACTTCAGGCTTTGACATTTCGATTTGATAGGATTAGGATTGCATTTATTTGATGAAACTGTTTCTAAATAACTCTCAACATACAGAGTACAAAATTTTAAAAAAAAAGTGAATGCCCTGAATAACTTTTGATCTAAAGATCAGATCATCACGTACTACGACTCAATCTTAATGGTTCGAGGACCTAACCTGAAACATATGCTAACGAATTATAGCATACCATGTTTTAAAATCGAATTTTCGAAGAAATTTAATAAAATTAAATTTTAATGTTTGAATTTAATATACCTCAGAAACTATTTGAACTATTTCGTTCAAATGTTTAATTTAGCAGTTGAAATTATATTCTTTAAAATTATATAAAAAAACATACAGTGTATAAAATTTTAGAAAAAGTGAATGCCCTGAATAACTTTTGATCCAAAGATCAGATCATCACGTACTACAACTCAATCTTAATGGTTCGAGGACCTAACCTGAAGCATATGCTAACTAATTATATAGCACGCGATGTTTTAAAATCAAACTTTTGAAGAAATTTAATAAAATTAAATTTTAATGTTTGAATCCACTATACCTCAGAAACTATTTGAACTATTTCGTTCAAACTTTTAATTTAGCAGTTGAAATTTCATTCTTTAAAATTATATTTAAAAAAATTGTACATCTTGCAATTCATATTTTTTCAAATATTAGTAAATAAATGAATAAAAAAATAATAAACAATTATTAAAAATAATTTTTGCGCAAAAATTATCTTTCGGTTTACAAATTTCACAATTATGCACAAATATTTCTCTTCTTTTAGGCTTAAATAGTTCTTGAACTACGGTTAAAAATGCAAAAATTAACGTTTAGAGGTTCGAATTTTTAACTTTTCTCCTGATAAAACTATTGGAACAGTATGATGTTACCCCTCATTCGTTGAGAGTCAAAAATTCCGAATTTGTCGGGAAAAAATTTATATTTATTCAGAGAAAGTACGTTTGTGTGCCAGATTACGTAATTGAAAATATCTTCTGCTATAACTAATTAGCATAGTTCAGGTTGAGGCCTCGAACCATTACGATTCAGTACTTGGGAAAGATCCGATCATTAGATTAAAAATTTATTCAGGGAGTTCACCTTTTTATTTTATACACTTTTTTAGTATCAATGTCAAGGACCGACTAATGAAAGATGAGGTTCATAATCGGATTCAAGTTGGGGTGTCACTGTTTCAGGCATAATAGATATTTTATTTTCAAGATTTATTAATTACAGCTATTGGAAGCAGTTCAATCATTAAAATTATGTGACTGATGGAAGATAGTGAAAAGTTAAAATTTCTTCTGCATATTGTAATTCTTGCCATGAATACGAATGGCTTCATTTCCCTCCTTGGCAGTGTCAAGATGCTGTTAAAACGATATTAAATTATCATTGCCATACTATAGAAAGAAAAGATTGTCTATTAAAAATAAATTTATCAATCAATGTTATTCGGCTACAGAAAACACTTCTTTTTCGCCTCTGCTCCATACGAATTTTAAACGTTTGAAAAACATTATAAAACTTACCCATTTAACGAAATATATTATAAAATTTACACATTTTTTGATATATAAGTAATTGGTTTCTTATTTTATTTTAGCTCTAAAATCTCCTCCAGCATTCCATGAACATAGGCAAAAGTTAGTAAAAGCAAGAGTAAGTTATATTTATATGCATATAATGAAACAGAATAAAGCATATAATGAAATAGAATCAAAAGCAAACTAATCTCCAGAAATAATGTCATTACATTAACGTGTCAATATGCTTATTAGTACTTAACCATAAAAAAGTTGTACTACAATGTTGTCTACTAACAGTTCAAAATTTAAATGACTAATTATGTAGTACTTTAAAATTGAAAAAAAAGTAGTTACAATGAAAATATGTGTTGATTTGTTGCTGAGCAAAGCAAAAATTGAGTAAAGGATTTTTAATAAACTCTGCATTCATAAAATAAGATTTCTTGAATTTTATGTTATAGACTTTCCACACAATAAAAAAATGTATTAAAACAATATTTAATTGCATGAATTCGCTTTTGAATGCATGGAAACGCCTAGAAATTGTTTACAAAATATTATTTTTCTTTACAAATTGCTTTTGAGTTAGCAGAATAAATTAATATTCTGCATAATAAATTAACGTAACCTCTGTGATGAAACAGGGTTCTATCGACGTCCGAGGCTTGAAGTCCATCCAGATTCTGATCTATGGCTACGAGCTGGTCTTATCTTGCGCCATTAACTTGGCCGATGCTCTGTGCTGATCATATTGCCACCACCAAGCCGTTGGTCTCGAAATCGTAAAGTCTCAACCATTTCACTGACAGACAAACTAGCTGTTGTAGAACTGCTTTGCTTTTATTTACATTTGATCATATATGTTTACAATACTAGAAATTTGAGCTTTCAAACTATATATCATGCTTCTTATCATGTTTTTAAGTTCTTCATTTCAATATCAACTAAAAACGTCATGTGTCAAACTATTTTTCGTGGGTAACTTATAATAAATATGTACTCTTTTCCATTTTGATCCGGGCCCTTGAGAGCTTAAGATAAATACAGGTTCTACGATTTTACGGTTCTTCCGCTTTGTCTGTTTCCCCGTTTTTTCGTCAGATATACCTTTTTACACAGTCTGGTTTTCTTATTTTGAGCATGTATAATTGTAACACTTTACCTTGAGTTAGGAGCACGGATGCATCCGGCTCTAGCTCCATCAGATTATACATTTCAATACTTAGAGATAAAACGCTTGATTGAAACTATTATTAAGGTTATCTGAAACAGTTATCTAGTTAAGCATACAGATTTACTTAAACAAATAGACTAAAACTCCAACGGACACTTAAAAGTTGTAGATGTATTAAAAGTTTTGTAATCTGAACAAAAATATGCATTTCTAAAATCATTAAGGCATAATTTTGTGCATTCCTCTCTGTATTGTCATTTTTCGAATTTCAAATTTTTTCTCTCCTTTAGATAGGTAGTATTTTAAAGCATAAACTTCCAAAAGAGCTTGACAAGCATGATATAATTCAGCAAGCACTTGAAGGTATGCTATTATTCATATTTGTACACTGCTTTCGCTCGCAGTTTATGTTTATTTAAAAGAATCTTGTGTATTTGTTGTTTCAGAATCTGCCAATGATTCTAGTTTTCAAGAAAGACAAAAGCCCGTCAAGAAATCTTCTAGAACGGAATCTGTACACAACCGATATTCACACAACTCAGCAACATTAGAATTAGTCAAAGAAAATATTTTTTCTGATGAACTGTTGGCAAAAGCAGTTCGAGGTAAATGTTTGATCTTCCTTTTTTGCAGTTATTAAGAGAATGGTAGCTATTTCTATGATATTAATTGGATATAGCGTACAATACCTCAATAATAACGTACACGTTTCGTGATCTCATATGTCGAAGCTAAATTAAACTTTTTTCAAGAACCTTTGAATGGATGATTCAACCCGGAGCTCATTTTATTTCGCTGCTTTGCTCTTTATTTAATAAATCGGACTATAAAATGACTGATGCAAGGTTGCTTCATAGTTTGAGCTTGTCAACAAGCTCAAGATACGAACTGAGCATGCTTACATTGGAATATTAAATTTAACCGTTTAAAAAATTGGACTAATTTACTGTGCAGGCAGGAAAAATATACATTAAAAAAGAAATTGAAACAAATTCTGGGCGAATATAGCAGAGTCACAGTTTATTTTGGTATGTTTGTTTCAAATTTTTGTAATTTTCGTTAAACCATAACTTAATGACGAGGTTGTTTTGATGTACACAATGGGATTATATTTATCTCATAAGGCCTGGTTTCTTAGCCTGTCGTCCTAAACGTCGGCGTCAGCTGGAAATCAGCGCTAACCTCTGATTGGTTTATTTGTGAGTTTCATAGTATACGTCATCGAACGCTTATCTTGAACTTCAATTGCCGTCCAACTCAACTGCAGTTGGATTACAGCGTGACGTTAACCACAGAAGCAATGGCGGACAACATCCTGTTGCACATTGAAATCAGCCAAGATTTTGATTTTGACATTAAACATAGCTTCTTCATTAAACATAGCACTCTTCATTTAGCTCAGCTATAATGTGTTTTTNTTGTCGAAAATTAATATTTCAATTGTAAGGTTTGCATTAGCATACATTTATAAGAGTGGAGAAAAGTATATGCATTTTTAAATAGTTTTTTTAATATGGCTTTTTGAAGACGAAAAAGCATAGATTTTCTTACAAAATGATTGATAACTAAAAAACTAATCCAAATTTTTGAAAAAGAAAAAAAAAATACTACTTCATTATGTCAAAACACAATTATGTGCCGAGTTACGTGCCTGGGTGAGGCTTCTGGGGCGATATATTGTGATTACAGACACACACACAGCCGCGTTTATTATTATGTATAGATTTATCTCATCTGATATTGCTTTTTGGCGTGAATTTGTTTTGAAGAATAACAGGAAAAAACGTAAGACATTAAATGCATTCATCCTTTTTATATACACTTAATGTTTCAACTGAACAGTGCTGTATGCACACTGTAAGCACAAAAGATCATAAGATTTCTATTTTTCTTTTAAGAAATATTCTTAATCTCCTCAATACAAGAGGATGTGATTCTTCCTTCACGGCCCACAGTATCATATTTGAGACGAACCTTTCCTACACCCATAACCACACAGCAGCCCATAACATGATGAGACGGATGTGATTTACATTTTGAGCGTTTTATTGCAATTTTCAACTATTGGTTGAAAATTGCATGCTGTAAAGCGGTTGAAGTTCGTTATAATTTCGAAAAATGTCTCACAGACCTTCAATATGCGCTTTCGGTTCCGTGTATTTTTTTAATATTTGATCCGGGGCATTTAAACATGCAAACAACTGCACGTTTTTGGCTCTTTCGAGAGTATTGAGCACAACTGCACTGGGACTTTTTGTTTAGATTTTCTCTGAGTTGGAAAATAATGGAATTCTTATTGGTTTATGTTGGCTTGTCGTTTGCAGTTTGTATGTTATGAACCAGTTTTGCAATCGTTTAAGTATCGCGAGCATTTTATTGCAGTATATTCAAGTACTATCAATGTAGTGAATTGTGCACTTTGTAGCGGTAATTATTTTACATGAAGTTTTAAATGAAGTGAGGCTTAATGCCCGGTCTCATGAGTAAGAATATTCTCGGAGCCTGTGGAAGCACTTTTCCTTTTTCGCCAACCCTGAACTTTTAAATATGTTGCTTACTATATGTTATGAGTTTCATATCCAACCTTGTCTCGGAGCATTTGGGAAATATTTTATGAAGCCATAGGTGCTCCGTGGAACCTGTGCGCTTGATGGTATGATAAGTATGTTAATGCAGTAGCTCCATTTTTATGAATGTAACTACCATTGAATACTATAATTATGACTTGTCATTTACAAGGAAACCATAGCTCCCAACTAGGGATGAAATGTTTACACAGTGTTACTGCAACAAAGATTAAAGAAGGAAGAAGTTAAGCTACTTCTCCAACATTTAAAAGCATAACTACTGATTTAATAATATGAATCGTTTGTAAATACCTATGGACTAGCTTTTTACAAACAGGTTTTTAGGCTAAGAAAGGTTTTATATTTATTTATGCTTCAAACAAGCCGAAAATTCAATTACAAATTTGCTTAACAGTGATTGATACCTCTTCAGCATATTTAGAAAAATAAAGCATTCGATCATTTTATAGAATTTTTTAAAGTTATTTTTAGAAAATAACAATGCATTGCAATAGAGGATGCATTTTAGATAGCTGCTGTTAATGTAACTTTTCTTTTAGTATAAACATCTGTATTATAACTGTAATGCCACACTAAACTCGTACAGTGAATCTTGTGGTGCAACAATCTGGCTGTCCTCTTAAACAAGTGACGAACTTATCAAGAAGGAAATTAATTATTTGTGCTAGTTTGGTACTTGATTATTAAGATAAACTTAGAGAGGGAGTTATGTAAACAATGGTGGTCATTTTTTCAGATATTTTAACATAATTCCAATGCATAAAATATGTATGAGTGTTTTTAGTGTATTCTCTGTTTCAGAAAGTGCATTGGCCTTCAAGAGACCATGTAACACACCTTCTCCGAAAATGAGGTTAGGCCTGGACGACGATAGCTGTAGCGACGATATATTCTCGCCATCTCCCCCTTACGAACTAAACGAACATTCCCAGGGCAGGTAAATATACTTTCCCAAAATTATTCAGCACAAAATATAATATCAGTTAGAAATTCTTTCGAAATTTTAGAATTAGAAATTTTTATTTTTTATGCAACAGGCACCATACATAATTGATCAAACTATAACAAAATTTTGTAGCATTTTTTTAAAACTTTTAATTTTGAATCGACCCGAGTACTAAAATTTTGTGGTACTTATTGATAACTTGCTATTTTGAACCTATTCAAGGTCACGAGACTCCTGGCAAAACTTTATAACTTGCATTTTCGAATCTATTCGAGGTTCTTTATATCTTATAATTTTGAACCTACCTTAGTTCATAAAATATCCTGCACTTTTTTAAAACTTGCAATTTTGAAATTTAAAAATATGTGACACTTCTATGCAACTTGCAGTTTTGAACCTACATGGGTTTAAAACTAGTTCAGTAACTGAGTTCTTTCTGAGAATACAGGGTGTCTCAAAAGTTCGTTGCCAAACTTAAAGTGTTGCTCTGTCATATCATGATGAACAAGGTTTAGATAGGAATTTGTGGAAGAAAATGCAAACTGTGACCGCTAGCGGCAAATGTTAGCAGGCTGTTAGGGAAGGGAGATCATTTCAAACGACATCGTTGCAGAAGTAGAATGAATCGGTTTACTAACGTAGAATTGACCGATATGATGTACATGCATCGTGCTGCGGATGGAAATAGACGAGCCGTGGAACGGATCTACCATGAGCGCTTCCCAAACAGACGTCAACTAAGTGGTGATTCTTTGGACAATTGTTTTTCATATTGCGAGAAGCAGGAAGTTTCCAGGTACGTAACCACATCTTTCGAGAACGCATTACATGCTCACCTGTCTTGGAGGAACCTCCAAGACCTCCAGGTTGTCAAATTTGTAGGTACATCGTTGCAGCATTGTGCTCATTCTACACGAAGACATGCTACACCCTACCACGTCCAAAGAGTACAGGCACTGTTCGATAACAATTCTCCCAAACGCGTTGCATTCACTCGCTGGTATTCGCAAAAAACTAGTCGCACAGCCGGATTTCCCAACGTGGATTTCGTTTACTGATCTTTTACACGGGATGGTGTCCTGAACCTAAACATGTGGCACGTGAAAACCCAAGGTGTACACGTGCCAATGCAAGTAAACAACGTTTCACCATAAATGCTTGTGGCACGGTATTATCGGTGGCATGTTAATGGATCCTTATCACATCTACACCTCGAATGAAATATTTATCGTATTTTTTCAGTATTGCCGGTTCTAATGGTTAACTTTCCAGCAGCTACACGCCGAAACATACGGTTTCAGTACGATGGAGCATCTGTAAATTTTAGCAATTAGCAAGGGAATATCTCTATAGGACATATCCTGATCACTGGGTTGGCAGAGGTGGACCAGTCATGTGGCCTCCACGATCCCCTGACCTGACACCCCTGGATTTCCACCTGTGGAGAAACATGAAGTCCATGATGCACGAGAAACCCATAATACTGGACACGAATCTCGTTTCCAGGATCGTGGAAGCAACAGTACGTGTCCGTTACATACCTACCCATTTTTAACTGCGCCGTGAATCCATGCGCTGAAGTACACAACTTCATTGCGAATGGAAGGAATTTCGAAAATTATCTGTAATCTAACCATATTCTTCAATAAAAGTCATATTAACACATCTTTCGACATCATTTCTTTCTCTCCCTCTACGCGTGCGAACATTGCCCGCTAGAGGTCGCAGTTTACATTTTTAAACGCAAATTCCTACGTAAATCTTATTCGTCATGATATGAGTGACCAACACGTTAAGTTAACCAATGAATTTTTGTGACATCCTGTATATTCATCACTGCGGATAAGAACAGCTCACTCAATTTTAACGTAACCTTAAATATTTAATATCTATGCTGGGGGAAATGGTGCTAGCATACTTTACCTGTCAACTTTTACCTGTCATACTTTACCTGTTAACCAAACCTATGAAACCAACAATTTTTAGTACTTTTTCTAAGAAAACAATATCAATGCACGAAAAGAATCTATATATAATTGGGAAATTCGTTTAATAGACTTGTTAAGAGTGAATCGTTTTCATTCCATTTGCAGTTTGCCGTCGCTGGAGGCAAGTGAACCCTCTCCGAATCCCAACCAGGGCTCTCCATGTTCCGGGATCACGTCCTTTTCCCTGTCACCTCCTAGCTCAGTGTCATCTCCACTGTCCATCCTTCCAGCCGTTGTTTCACCTCAATCGACGCACGACCACATCGCCGAATATATTGTCCACATGCAACAGCCACAGAATTGTGTGAAAGAGACCAACAAAAACAGGAAGAAGACGAAGCCAAAAACGCAGCCAAAAGCGAGAACAATCAAATTCCACGAATACAGGGTAAACATTTTCTTTTTTCACATTTCCTTTATTCACTTTGGCATGTTTCTAAAGCATGTCGCCAAGAGATGGGTACTTTCCAAAGAAAAGCCGCCTTCTTGTTTACCTCTTTTCGCACATACAGTCACAGAAAACAAATGATATAAATAATTGGCTTAAGCACAAAACTACGAAGATAACTGACTGGTTAATCCATGATTTTATTTAAAGCAAATAAATGAGAGCTACAATAGTATGAGTAACAATTTCATGTATTCTTTTTGTCCCCTATTGTGAAAGTATAGGAAGAAACGCTGTCTCTGTCTTTTCTTAAAAAATGTGTTTATTTTATGATCGCTTCAGTTTAAAGAGTAAAATAAAAAGTTCCAAGTATTTTGTGACATGTAATTGAAACAAAAGTTGAGTTTTTGCTATTTTATACTAAAAATTTGTTTTCAGGGTCCACCGAATGCGAAAAATGGCTCGTCCACCTCCAGTAGTATATCAGAGTCACCGCCTGAGCTCAACTTCCAGCAGCGACAACTTTTTCTAGAGTTACAAAGCGCATTCCACCAGTCCCGTCCTCAAGTCTTTGTTAGTCAGGTTAGTGCTTCTATAAAAATTAGATCACCATCTGAATTAGATCAGTTTAATCTATCCGTAAATGAAAAACTTTACGATCGCTTCAGTTTAAAGAGTAAACAAAAAGTAAAGAGAAAAAGAAGTACATCAATACAATAAAATAATTCAAAAAATTTTTTATGTAAAATGTTGAAGATTTAAACTAAAAGGATAAATTGAAAATATAATCATAATCTTGAATTGAAATTATTGTCTTAATAAAGAACCTACAACGATACTATACATCGGGGATCATCATTAGATTAAGCGAAACGCGTTTTAGTAGTTCATTCCATCAAAATAGTGATTAACTGTATTCACTTTATTTTGGAATGACATTATTGTTCGCGGCAAACTCATGATGATGAATTTGATGTTGTTTGCTTTTTATATTTTATAACCGTCGTTGAACAGCTGACCCAATTTCGAGTATACGACTACCAATGTTAAACTCCGTATCCTTGTAATTTTGAATCCGATTCAGAAGACAAGGAAACTCCTGGATCAAGTAATGGGAGAAATTTGCCTTCGTGGTGGACTTTTTGATGCAACTAAACAGCGTTCGCGTTACATGGAGAGAAAAACCACAAAAACTTCCCACGATTAACCTGACGGCAAAGGGACTCTAACCCATGATCCGTCTACCAATGAGGATATTTTACGCCAGCACTGTGGTTGCTGCGAGTCGGATCTGAAATTCATATCAACCAGCCATTGCTGGGATTCGAACCCAGTTCACCTCATCGGAAGGCGAATTCTCTATCCCCCGAGCAACACGGCTCGTTGTTGTTACCTATGTCATTTGCCAACATCAGCAAGCCTACTTGAAAACCAAGCGAAGTTTTTAAGGTAGACGGTGCGTTTTTTATTTTTCAGTTACGTCATCTATGGCCAAGAATACGATTTCTGCCTCATATGTACGTCACAGCCCGTTTTACAAGGAGGACCCATTCTTACTTCATTCATTCATCTACAGATCGTAATTTTGACTTGAACCAGAGAACGATCAATCTCCAATTTAGTACCTCCAGAGTTGTTTTATTTTTTACATGGAGAGGAAAACCTCCTACGATCAGTCTGACGGCAAGGATACTCTAACCCATGATCCATCTGCCACAGAGGATATTTTACGTCAGATCTGTCGTCGGTGAGAGACGGGTGACTAATTCGTGTCACCTAGCCATCGCTGGGATTCGAACCCACGTCACCTCTTTGTGAAGCGAGAGCTCTATCCCCTAAGCCACCGCGGCTCAAAATAAATGTATTATATTGATCTTAATCTCTTTGTTCGTTAAATGCACATGCTATCAATGATCCCTTTTATAATATGTCTCATTTAAAATTCATTGTAAGAACAGCACTTAATATATTCCGTTTAGATCCGTATTTGAAACCTGGTCTGTCCCTTCTAACTTTCACGCACGCTAACGGATGGAAACCAAAGCAGATTTAACGAGCCATTTTTGATTGTATAAAGCTTGGAGATTCGTGACACAAGCGTCTCACATTCCGTGGGCAAAATACAATCAACTAACAGGTTCTCATTTACATACGAAATTTCCGTGTACAGCAAGAATTATCCCGAGAGAATGCAAAAAAAACTTCATTGTTAACTGTTTTCTGAGCCTCAATCACTTTAACCGATTGCAACTCTTAATTTCAAATCGGTTTAATTATTTTATTTTCTACGATTGTTTCACATATTGTTTTAGTAATTTAATAACATATTTGTCTCTTGTAAACTAATAGCATATCTTATTTTATAGAAAAGTACAGGGGACCAAACAGGACAATCCAATCAAAAGCCAATTCCATCCAACAATCAGACCGAATCACAAAGTTCATCGTCGCAGAAACTAATTTCAAATTTTGAAGATTTAAAAGGTAACATGTTATACCTTACTAAAACGCGTTTACAAAAGTTTATTTAATAATATACACTGCGAAAACTGTGTTGTACTATTTCGCTGAATTCGATGTTTAACAACCCAAAAAATTGTGTGAAAGAACAATTTTTTTCAAGTCAACACAAAAAGAAATGAGTAGAATATTCTTACAGAATCTTTTTGTGTTTTCCTTCTGCCGTCTAAACTTTTAAAGTCTGAAATTCTTCGAACACATTCTTCTTCTACGACAAAGTAATAAAAAATTTTAGTAACAAGTTTCGTTATCACACACCTAGAATTCTTTTAAAAAAATTGTTTTGTCATGAATACATTAATCACTCATGATAATTTGCGTATTAACGACATTTGATCTCTTGATCAATTGCAAAATACTCTATTTTATTTTAAATTTCCTTAACTTAAAAAAAATAATTAAAAAAAACTATGTTTTTGAAACCAAACACAATTTTAATTATTATCCATATCTACTATAGATAATAACAAAAAAGCATCGAAATGCAGATAGATAGATAGATAAGTATAGATAATAACAAAAAAAGAAGACATGCTCAAAAATTATACATCGAATTCTATTTTCCGGGGCATATAATGTACAAATATTTATTTAGTTTTTCATTGTCTTATAAGCCAATGAAAAACAAAATGTACTTAAATCTTTACTCAAAATTGTGAGTATTTGTGTGATTTTCAATTACTTAGAGCTAAAAAACAATCTATTCAGTGATTCTTAAAGAAATTGGTGGAAAAATATGTACCAAGCCCGAAAAAACTTCAAGTGGACCGGTAACTTTAGTCCCTACCGTGCATTCTTGGTTTGCAATATGCACTAAGTAGATTTTCATTTTATTCTACAATAGATCTCCTTTTTAAACCCATAATTTTATTTAATCATTTGAGATTGATTTAAATGTCTGTCCTCGGACTGCAATAATGATGTTGTCTTTTTCAGTGAGCGACCTCAGGGCAGAACTGAAAAAGAGGAACTTACCCGTATCGGGATCCAAGCCTCAACTCATCGAAAGACTGAAATCTCACAACCCTTCATCAAACGACTTGGTGGCATCTTCAGGTCAGACGCTGGATCCCTCGGATGTGAGTGCGATAAGTGTCGACAGCCTGCTTCTCGACAACCTAAACACCATTCCAGTGTCCGGCACACCTCTCAGTGCCGATAATGTCAAAGACTTTTTGAGCGCCCTGCCAACCGACGCCCTCTCTTCAGCCCTCATATCACTGGAGGACGATGCCATAGACCTCGGAGACATCGGCAACTCTTTCACCTCACTCACCAACGAAGAAATAGTTCAACTTCAACAGATCTGCATCGAGAGGTTAACGAGGGATCTAGAGAGGTACATTCAAAAAAATTTTCCCAGGCTTTGAATATGAATTTATAGACTGTTAAAACATTTTAGAAACCATCTTTGTAAATGCAATCAGTATAACTCCACTAAGAAATTGATAAATAATAGAAATAGAGTATTCTTCATGGGTATGAATTTATTCACTTTTAAATGCCATCGTTGTAAGTGAAATCGGGATGACTTCACATTGACCTCGATAAATAATATTCTTCAGGCCTAAAAATTTACTGACTATTAAACGTCTCAAAAACCATCTTTGAAAGTGTAATCAGGATATTTTCACATAGACCTTGATAAATAATAGAATATTTTTTTAAATATATGAATTTAGTAATTATTAAAGGTTTCAGAAGCCATCTTTGTTAGTATATTCGGGAGGACTCCAAATAGACCTATATAAATAATAGAGCATCCTCCAGATAGACCTATATAAATAATAAAGCATCCTCCAAACAGACCTATATAAATAATAGAGCATCCTCCAGATAGACCTATATAAATAACAACAATATATAAATAATAGAGCATCCTCCAGATAATCTATATAAATAATAGAGCATCCTCCAGATAGTTGTTGTTGTTAATTTACGTCGCGCTAGAGCTGCACAATGGGCTATTGGCGACGGTCTGGGAAACATCCCGGAGGATGATCCGAAGACATGCCATCACAATTTTGATCCTCTGCGGAGGGGATGGCATCCCCCGCTTCGGTGGCCCGACGACCTGCGCGCGAAGTTGAACACTTTACGGTAGCACAGTTTAACGAGGACCAATACCGCACACCCTCGGTCCCTACGCAGACTGATCCAAGTGGTCACCCACCCGCACACTGACCGCAGCCAGTGATGCTCATCCTCCAGATAGATCTATATAAATAATAGAGCATCCTCCAGATAGACCTATCGTGTGATCAAGAGCTCCTCCAGATACATCTTTATAGAGCTTTTTGGATTCTCTAGCAAGATCCTGATAATTTAAAAAAAAGCCCTCAAGATTTTTTTAAATGTATTCACAAGTTCAGCGCGACGTCCAGGTATTAGAGTGACCTTCTTTTTACCGTCAGATTTTTTTTTATATTTCAAATGGCATAAGAAAATCACTAACTCTTACAAAATAACAAGGAACACGAATTATACAAAAAGAGATACGGCAAGGTAAAAAAAAGTTAATGCCCCATTAGTATATGTTTAGTACTTTAATACCTTCAAGCCACGGAGTCCCCACGCAGAGCCGAGCATCCCATCAAATGGTTCCTGTCCATGACTTCGTCTTTCCCACAGAATGGGCAATTTGGACTCACAAAAATACCAATACGGTGAAGGTGGTCCACCAGGAAGTCCTGATCAACAGCTGGTTTAAATTCCGAGACAACTGATGCTGCAAGCCGAAAGTAGACCTCTTAGCTGTCAAAGAAGTTACTAGGATGCTTCGCGGGGAGATAGATCTACTATCGCACCCCACCGTCATACTGAATTTGTAACACCATGTCATCAAACTTAGAATACTTCATTTATTCCTGAAACAGTAGAAACGATTCTGGCTTTCATGCTATAAACTCTACCTTTATTCGAGAGTAATAGAAAATAGCGAAGTTTCAAAAGATAGAGAATTCTCTTGACATGCCTGGAAAAGAGAATAGTACATTAACTTAAAAACTACAGTTTTCTCGATATTTTTGTTTCATTAATGTTTATATCCTATTTCCTCGGCATCTTGTTCAAAAATTGATAATCAAATATTACTTTTTAAAATAAGTCTTGTTAGAAGCGAAGAAAAGTACTGGCGTATTTTCGTTTCAAATTTAAACCTACTATTTATTCTCATTTCCTAAACGTTTGATAATGTTAGATTCAATAAAACTTATATTCTGTGCACATACCACAATAGTACACTTTTTTGTATCTTAACTTTTTTACCTTCTTATTAGTTTGTAACAAGGTGAACGGGTTATGTATAAATGATTATTTTATTTCAGATCCAAAAGAAAATTACAAGAATGTCAACAACCTTTAATAACAACCACAACTGCAAAACCATCCCAAGCACCATCTTTGGTCACAAAATCCTCCTCCCAATCCAGCAATAATAATTTTAGAAATGGAGAAACAACAGTGGGTAACAATGAAAACAAAACAGCACAGAAGCAGATCATACAACAGCTCCTGCAACAAAAAATACAGAGACAAGAACTGGAACAACAGAAATCTCAGAGACAGCAAAGCACTTGTAAGTATAAACAGTTCGTAGCATGCGTATGTATTTATGTCACATCTGATCGCCGTAGTAAGAGAATGAGAAAGTCATTGGTCAAATGGATGGTGTTTTCAATATAAATGTAAACAACAACAATCTCGAGCTCTACTTCCTGCTCTATACCTCTTTCTATGACCTGCTCTACTTCCGGTTCGAAAGTATACAGCTGTTTTTAATAGAAGAACTAAATTATATAATTTCTGAGCTCAAATCTGCTGTATTCCATAAGATATTAATAATATTAAGTAATTCTGGTGAGTTTGAAGTGAAAATTTGTTTTAGTTTTTTTTTAAAAGGTGACGTGGTTGCTAGATTTAGAAAGAACTCGCTTTTTTAGCTGTCCCAATTTGCCCTCTTTTTACTTGCTTATTGCTGTTTGTTCCTGTTGCAAGTCGTGCACCATTATGGGTTAGTGTTAGCATATTGTTCGAGCAGCGAGATTAGATTTATTTTACAAATTATCATTTAGGTTTAAATTTCGAAGTTGGTATATTGTTGAAAAGGTAAGAAGTGTTTTATGCTGTTTGTTCCTGTAGCAAGTCGTGCACCATCATGGGTTAGTGTTAGCATATTGTTCGAGCAGCGAGATTAGGTTTATTTTACAAATTATCATTTAGGTTTAAATTTCGAAGTTGGTATATTGTTAAAAAGGTAAGAAGTGTTTTATGACGATTCTTATGTCTTGAAAAGACAGGTCTTCAAATCATGATTCTTTTCTTTTTTTTTTAACAGATAAAATAAACCAGGTAACTAATACACGTATAAGAAATACTACTCAAGAGAATCTCAAAACACTGTGAGCCAAATGGCTTCAAAATACACTAGAAACAGTAACCCGGAAATATAGGTGGTAGTAAAGAGCTTGCAGGGCACCCTAGTGTAGGAAACACCATCCATATATTTTCCAGCGAAAAACTCATAAATCAGGTTCCTTTCTTCAAACGGCAATCGGTTGTGCGTGAATCGTACACACTTAGAACGTTCTTTTAGCAGTTTATGAATCATTCGTGGTCTTATCATTTATTGTATTAATTTAAATCTTCTTAAAAAGAGCATTTCTTTTTTACCAATATAATATTGCCATTATACCCGAGCTGTTACTAGTTATGTTAGTCGACGAATATTTCCAAGCCAGATGTTTAATAATGAATCAAGATAAATTTTATTTAAAAAAATACATAATTTGATAATAAAACATAGCAATAAATTATTTTAGAATTTAGATATAAGACATCGTCTAAAATTCAATGAGCAACCTCTTTCTAGCTAGTACAACCAAAGAATCTTTCTCTTTCAAAAACTTCATTTGATAATCTCGTTCCTTTATCTTGAATTCATTCTTTTAACAATGCTCTCTTGCATTGCATCTTTTGCCAACCAGCAAAAACTGTAGCGGAGCAGAGTCATACAAATATTTTACCTGGAAAAAAAAATCTAGCATTAGATCTACCGACGCCTAGATGCTTTTTACAGTCTAAAGGTAACTTCTTAAGTCACGATTAATTTTCAGAAAAACTCAATTATCAATATTTCTCCTTACGTGGCACCATAAACTCGGGCAACACTATAGTTATTATTCATTTTATAAGGTTGTCTTAAGTAATAATTTAAATAGGATTGACCAGTTAGCTATACGTTAAGAATTTAGTTAGAATAATTTTGTATTTTCATAGGAATAAAAACTTAGTTACAAATTAATTATTTAAATTAATTTTTGATCCTTTCTAAAATGGCTGAAGTAACTTAAAGAATAAACGATGGTATGATTGATACCTCATACCGTCCTTCCAATCTACTATTGGTGACAAAGATGGCCTTTTTCGAGCATTGGCATGCATGCATACATATATATATNCAAACATATATATATATATATATATATATATTGTACAATACTAAAGTAATGTCTTGAGAGGTGCGTGAGGAAGTAGTACAGCTCGTAACGGAGCATTGGAATGAGTTTTCTATTTTATATCACAACAGAGATGGAAATAATTTTAACACTGCTGCTGCCTACTATCCTGAACTCATACTTCCGGTGGTGTGTGATTGAATGGCTGCCGGACAGATTTTAAATTATTACTAAAATTCAATGCATAACATTAACGCACGTTGACACAATTGCGGGCATGTCTCATAATTAAATCAATGTACTTCCATGAGGGCAAATCCACGGGCAACACCTATATTCCGTTAGCGTTTTTAACTTTTCGCAAAATCTCTTATTTTCACTTACATAAGTTTGATATTTTTTCACGAGCACATGCGCAATTACTTGAAATTTTACGTATGGGAGCGTACGGAAGGTAACGTAAATTTGCGAAATCTCCCTAATTGATTTGTGTTTAACTTTCATTATAGCTAATGGAACTCCTGTGTCTTCTTCCTCCTCCTCCAATCCAAACTCCACTTTGACGGCTCTTCTCAAGAGTGGACCCCTGAATGTCGACATTGATCTGGTCGCAAAAACTTTATTTCCTCCGTCATCCCCCGTGAAAAAAGAAAAGACTGATTTCCTCAATCCAGAACATACCTTCAATGGTATTGTGGAGGAAGATTATCCCGGTGTTATACCGATATTTTCCAGCACATCCGACACAGTGACAACAAGTACGACCGTCATCTCGCCACCTAACGTTCTCACAAACAGGTATGAATATGGATTTAAATATTTGAGTACAGCCGACCGGCCTGTGTAGGGGTCGGGGAACTGCCCTTGCATCAGAAAGGTTCTGGGTTCGAAGCGGCAATCGGTCCCGGGCAAGGCATGGATGTTCTTTCATTCTCTGTAGTATCTGTCCTTACTGTGGAAGCAACGTTGGCCCACCTAATATGGGGCCCCTGGAAAAGTGCCCAACAAATCTGCCCTTCAGATGCCTGTATGACATAGGTTATTCCCCAGGAGGGCATTGGGAAAAAAAAGTTTTTTTGAGTACTTGTTTAACTACTCATTAGTGTTCTGAAACAGCTGACATGACCGAATCTTGGAATAAACTGCTTTTAAGTAATCATTTCTTTAATAAAAAAATTATCAATGTGTGAAACATTCGGTTAAAAATGTGACTCCAAAGCAGTTTTTTTTCTAAGTATCCGATAAAAAGTGTTAAATCCAATCTTAATTTACTAAATAACGTAGAAAAACAGCGAATGATCATTACATTAATAATTAAACAGCTAATTAAGAAACATAAAATTCATCTTTTGCAAAAAAATTCTTAATGTCTATAAAGTTAAACTGAAAATAAAGAGCTACATTTGTAAGCATCGCTCTAAAGATATTTTAAAAAGTATTCTCCCGCTATAGCGTGAGTATCATGCATTACGATAATTACCAGCAAGGAGACTATTTTTTTTATTATTATTTATATAGCTTTTTATTTATTAGTTTGTTTTTGCGACACGCTTTTGCCTCTTAATTAAAGCTTTTGAACACATAAATGTTAAACATCAGATAATTTATTAACATTTTAGAAATAAAACCTGGTATTTACAAAAAGAATAAATTTTAAAAGTTATAAAAACTGTTTTAAAATTATTAATTTTAATGGCCACAAACATTCAGAAAATAAATTCCCTGACTTTCCCCTGATTTTTTTTTCAGACTAAATTCGTCGAATTTTCCAGGTTTTTCTAAACGGTGGCATAAATTTTATTGTTAATTATATAGTTATATTATTCTTATACATGAAATATATTTTAAAACACTTACATTTTTCAAATGGAAGATAAACATTTTTTTAAAAAATTAATACAAGACCAAAATTGTTAAAAAAAATATTGCAATTTTATATCAATTATAAATTATTTCCTTTTCCTGGCTTTTTGGGTATTTTTATGAAATTTCCCTGTTCTGATTTTCCCATCCCGTGTTATTATTTTACAAAGTCCTTTATTTAATGTTAAGCGTGTTTCTTCTTGTTAGTACTTGTATTGTTTACTATTTAAAAAGAATTTTTTATTTTTTATATAGTACGTAAAATTGCCTTAAAAAATCATTTTTATATTGTATCAGATTTTAATAAAAGAATTAATCCTCTCACACTTAAAAGCTGTGGGGGGGGGGAGGCGACCGTTCCCTCTAAAAAATATGTCCTCTAAATCAAACTAGAGAGGGTCGGCCGGCTGATTATACACACTTATTTCAATTATAATTGCAAATAATGTTTCATAACATGTGTCTTTTATTTAATTTTCATGTTTGAAACAGGTCATCTTCATTACCTAGTTTCTCCGCATTGTGTAAGCCTCCACCTACACGAAGTAACACCGATCCTCAGTTTCAAATATCGAGACCCCCTCCTGATTACGACGCAGCCACGAGGCACCTCAACAAGGTTAAACAGGTAAAAATATCATCTGTCTCTTCAAAACATTTGCGAGACACAGTGCTCGATTTGTTAAAATATTATTAATTATTTTGAAGTAATAAAATATGTATTAATAAAGTAAAATGATGAAATTGAAGCTCTTGATCAATCGAACGAAACAAATAAAAAAGCATTCAATTTGAGTTATCATTTCCAGCAGTCAGAAAAGGAAATCGATTTGCGTTAAGAACTGAAATTTTTTATATGAAGGTGAATAAAAATTTTAATGCGAGGGTAAAAGTTCGAAGGAATCTTTGAAATTTTTAATAAGAAGGTAAAACTGCGAATAATTGAAACTCTTTTATGTGAGGGTAAAAATGCGAGTTCAGCAAAGTTCTGCTGGCTACATGCAAGTCGTGTGCGAAGAAAACGATCGAATTGAAGCTCTTGCAAACAAAAAAGCATTCGAACAGTCAGAAAAGGAAATCGATTTATCATATTGTTTTGTGTGAAGAACAGAAATTTTTTATACGAAGGTAAAACTGCGAATGAATAATCGAAACTTATAATGCGAGGGTAAAAGTACGAATGAATCTTTGAAATTTCTAATAAGAGAGTAAAACTGTTTATAAATAAATTAAAACTTTTTACATGAAGTAAAAATGCGAATTCAGCGAAATTCTGCTGGCTACATGAAAGTCGTGTGCGAAGAAAAAAAAGAATATTAACGATTTTTGATTTGAATTATCATATTTTTGCTTACTAGTCTTCAATCTTAATGGTTCCAGAGGCCTCACCTTGCTTGTGCAGACGATATTTTAAGTTACGAAGTCAGGCGCAAAGAAGGAGAATGAAAAATCTTTTTTTTTCACATATAATTATTAAGTATTTTAATGGAAAGAATTTTCTTTTTAAAATAGTTAATTAGCCTTCCAGATACTGGAAACATTTCCTTTGTAATGTCCAAAAATGCAGAAAATATTTTAAAAAAAGAAGAAGAAAAAATCTCGTTTGTTAGTTTTTTTTTTTCTTCTTCTCTTTGTGTCCCAAGTGTAAATTTTAATTGTTTTGTGGGGTTGGAATATTTGCAGCAGCATCCCGTGACGGGAGATGATGGAAATCCGCGCCATCCTAAAAAACACAAAACATCTGTCAAGAGTCAAGCCGTAGACGATGTCCTAGCAGTACTCATAGCGAGTGGAGGTATGTATTTTTAGATCGTATTTTAAAGACCTCCCGGAAAACAGCCTGATTCCTATTAACTATTGAACCTCCTACCTTTATTGTATATCACTGCTTTAAATAGCTGACTATTTGAAAAATGTAATTAAATGTTGTTTTTTAAAATACTTTTTTGACATAGAGTATGAATGAACGTTTTTTAGCAAATAGTAGGCTATTTTAATAGAGAGGGACTGTCGTAACTAGTTCCGAACATATGTATGTGGGAAAAAAAATCGTTTTTTTTTCTAACAACTGTTAGATTAAGTTTTGTCCATACACCAGTCTGAGACCTATGCGATTATGAAAATAGCGTAGTATTTGTTAGAATAAAATATTTTTAACAAATAAAAAACTTTTGTTTTCGAATTTAAAATTTGAAAAGCTTCTCCATTACCGCATTAATTAAGGCTCCTAAAAATATGCAAAGATTATTTTAATGGTTTTCATTCATGTGGAAAAATATCTAAATTCTTGTTTTCTTTAGAATTTTAATAATTTTTTCAAAATAATTTTAATCATTTTTATCAACAAAAAAAAAGCTTAATTTTTTCAAATAAATATTTAATAATATTTTTCGTGAAATATTTGTTCTTTTATGCTTAGACAAATAAATTGCAGTTTTGCGTAGACAGGCACTATTAAATGGTTGTTTAACCTCTGGGAGAAAAAAAATAGTTGTGCCCTGCTAACGAAGGAATACCAATATCTCTAACATAAAAATTCAATAGCATAAAATCATTTTCTAATGCTGTCTGCACATTCTCATTTGACAGATAAATCGAGCGGTATGATCCAGTTTTCTAGCATTAAAATCTAGATTTCTTTATATGTTATCAACATAATAGTATTTTTTACCTGTAAAATACTTTTTTTTCCGTAATTAAAAAAAAATCATACAAATAATATTTATTTATATCATTCATTCCTAGTATGGTCTGCTACTATAATGCATTCCAAATTAAAGGCTTAAACTAAAAGTGGTGGTGTTTCTTTATGCGAAAGAAATTCTATGATGATCTTGCGTTGCATACCTAATAATGAAAAATTTTATGATAAACATATTTAAATCGGTATTTAAACTTATTAAAAAGTATATCAAATAGTTTAAAAATGATAAAAGTAAATAGATAACATAAGCATTTAAGCATTCAAAACTGTGTAACATAATAAGAAATTAACTTTTCTAACTATTATTAAATAATATCTTTGGTGAAAAACATTTGAAAAGTTGACTCTTTGTCAATATTGACTAACATTAGCGTAACACTAACTATAATAAAATTGTGATTAAAATGTTAAAGTCAGTTTGACTTTTGAATGAAACCAAAAGACATTTCTGATAATCCAAGTTCACCTATATCTGACAACAAAACTAGCTTGATGCTTTTAGTCCTGATTTAATCACGCTTAGCCTTGATAAACGATTCCTCAAATTTTGTTACAAATTTTTCACATTATATATAATATTTTTATACATTTTTTTATATATAATATTATTATGTCATATACAGGGAGTTTAGCAGAAAACTGACTGATTGCAAAATTAAAAATCTCAGGAAACAAAAGGCGATATAGTAATGAAACAAACAGTATATCTATGTATAACTTGGAATTTAGTTACACAAATTGCCAACAGATGACGCTGCATTAATAATCAGAGCGATCCGTTCTAGCATTGAAACATGAACAGAGGTTGTCATATCAGGTTAGGAGGCTTAACCTTGTATAGTACTGAGCAACGTAGTTTTTGGTACTGGAATATCTCAGGTTAAATTACAGTCTTATAACATATGTATGCTTTTCATGAATACTATACAACATACAATGCCATATGTTGGTAACTTTTGTAACTAAAGTGCAAAATTTATGTCAAAATGTTTTACAGCCTACACAAAAAACATACCATATGTATCATTTCACTTATCTTTTCTTTCCAAGATTTTTAATTTTGATATCATTCGGTCTTCTGCTGGACACTCTATACTTTCTAGTTTTTTAAAACAGTATTTCGTCCAAAACACACCAGGGTTATGCTAGCAATGTTTTGTTTTTCTTCTCAAAGATCTACCTCCCAGTGCAGCTGAAGAGCCAACATCAGCCTTGACACCCCTATCAAACAATGGAGACTCCATTCCACTGTATCAAACATCCATTGCCTCAGGTGATGTCTTTTTTTCTAAAGCGTCCACTTCCTACCTCTCGACAACGGTCAACTCAATGGACGGTCCCAACTCCCCTGACATCAACCTGGCACAATCTGTGATGGACATGACTCCACCCTCATCCGCTGGATTTGGGGAGACAGGATGCTCGACCACAGCCTCACTGGACTTTGGTCCCCTTCTGGACTTGAACGATATGGACTTGGGACTGGACGGTGATGATCAAGTATCCTCCACACTGGACCCAACTCTGACCATATCCTTGCCTCAAGAACTCCGAGCCTCCTTGGATTATGGGGTTAATAAATCAAGTGTCAACTGCTCTTTGAAATCTATAAACGACAAAGGTGTGTGGACTTTGCTTTTTACATTGTAATATCCTTTATATTATTTCTGTATGTATGAGAGCAAAAATGGCACAGTATATAATTAAAAAAAAACATAACATAAAATTTATTAGCAAAAGGTGGAAAGTAAAGCCTAGGTCAAAAGAACACTCACAGAACATGGGACAATAAGCCAGTGGTAGAAATTAAGAAAATTTAATTACTAATCAGCAATTAAAAGGTATTACTAGTCCGAACACATTTTCACAGACCTGTTTACATGTCTTTATTATATATATTTTTTTTAAAAACTTAATAAAGTAAATTTAAATGAAAAACTACAATCCAGAGAACTCGTAATGTTAATATGCTATTTTGTGACAAAATTCTAAATAAAAAAAAATTACAACAACTATTATCATTATTATTATTATTGGTCTGAGGAATCCCTAATAATTTATTTTAAGGTGGTCTTAGTCAAATTTAATGGTTACAGATCAATGGACCACCATTAATTTTTGCTTTTAAAATTTTCAACACAGCCATTTTGGTGAAAATCAACAAAATTTTCTTATAGGCAACAAGATATTGTGCTATTAACTAGTGATAGTTCTAAAAAATAATGCTGAAGATTTTGATATAAAAAAAATTTGCATTCTAACATGATCTGATCTCTAAATAAACATAGAATAAGTGTGGCTTATGATTATTTCCTCAAGCCCATCAATTTTAAGAGGTTAGAGAAAAGAATGTTCAAATGTGAGGAAAATGCTCCTTTTTCAGAAAACATACAACTAAACCAATGGCTGTTGATGTCATGTCACAGATTTTCATGACAATTTATGGAATAAAAGCTCTTAATAAAAAATGGCTAAAATAATTATTTTAGAATATTTTAGTTAGGGGGCCAGTTTGAAAGACTCAATTCATGACAGATGGTGGCTCATATGTTAAAAATATCTTCTTTTTTTTTTTATTTATGAGTCAATTTTCTTAATTTTGGCGTCATTAGAAAAAAAAAGTCAACATGATGTAAATTAGTTATTAAAAAAGCTAAAAATATTAGTATAAAGTTTAAAAAAATTTATTTAAATAATTTTGCAGGGAATTTGTTTTTGCAAATTTGAAGAATTCTTTTTAGAGGAAAACCACATCAATAGTTTTTCTTGCAATGTTAAATGTCATGTTTTTCAAAATAATTCAAGAAAACCAAGGGAGTGTTTTTTTTTTGTTTGTTTTTGGTCAGTACAAATATAAAAAGTGATTTTTAGCCAAAATAGGTCAAGAAATTTTGTTTTTATGCTAAATTTTTTTTCAATTAATTTGGTTACGATCCACTTATATATTATACTTTTAATATTGAAAAACATAACACAATGAGAAAAAAATTGAAGTCAAGAAACTGTTTTTCTGATATAAAAAAGTATTTTGGTTAAAAAACTTTTCATTTATTTATTTTTTTAATAACAAAAAGCACTCTCTTCATTCTTTTTATGTTGAAAAGTATATTTAATATTATGTGTTAAAAGTTGATACTTCCCAGTAAAAAAATTCTTAAAATTTAAAAAAAAAAATCCCAAAAATTTTAATAAAAAAATTTAAAAGATTATATAAATATTTTCAGCACTTTAATAGCTTAATTACATAGTGTTGACTTTCTTTTCAAATGACACCAAAATTAAGAAAATTAGCTCATAAATAAAAAAAAGACATTTTTAATATATGAGGCACAATCTGTAGTTACGTCATTTTCTTAAATTGTGTCAAATTCAAACTATCGATATATTTTCAACAATTTTCATCAACTGATGCATGTAAACTTCAAACATGCTATTTGAGGTGTTTTGTCCTAACTGTAACAAATCTTCATTATCTTTTTCCTAATTAGTATCAAGAGTTCCTGTTTTTCTTCTCAAAGCGAAATATCTCAAATTTAAAGTTTTTGGAATTTCTGAACAAAAGATATGAGAATTTGCTAATTTCAAAAACGATCTACACTATAAAATTAGCATTTGATGACAATGGGATCACAAAAACAATGAAATACAAATATACATACATGAATAATGAAAATGAACAATGACAGAATTATGGATCAAGATTTAAATGCAAAAAAAAACTGCTTAATAGGTGTATGAAATTCTGAAGGAATACTTACTCAAAGTTAAAATGCTAGGTGAAAATGCAAGCTGTCTTATAGGCTATGGCATGTAAGACAGCTATGTGTACATGTAGTTATCTCCATATGTAACATGTAGCTATCTCCATTCATAAATAATGCATCCTGGAAAATAATTGTAAAACTTAATAAATTTTTTATATAATTTATGTAAATTTGTATATTTTTCCATCAAAATAGTAAATTATTTAACATAAAACATTTTTATAAAAAAATTCTTTCCTCCTCTCATTAAAATTTTTTTCGATAAAACCTTGATTATCTACATACTTCTGTGAACCAAAATTGATTGGCTATTTTTCACAAACATTTATAATTTTTTTTTCAATAATATGCTGTCATAACTCAGCTCCAAAAGAAAGTTTGTATCATTTCGATAATCATCTACCTTCTCTCCTATTCTCTTTGATTTTTTTTTTGTCACTGAAGAATTATTAACTTCTATCCAATTATCAACTTAGACGTTTTGCTTAAAATAAAATATCTTTCTGCCTATTTTACAAAACCAAATAGGTTTTACTGCTCCAATTCAAAATTACCCATACGAGCAATTTTGTAAGTCAGTAAAAATTGTGAAAATCTAGTTTCTCTTCAATAATTACGCTGTATATTATTCAATTTTGACTGACCGGTAGCGCTTGGCGCTGTCGTGCCACAGGTCCCTGGTTCGATCCTCGAGCCGGGCAAGGTTGACTCAGCCTTTCATCCCTTCAGTGGGTCGATAAATGAGTACCAAGCATGCTTGGGAACTAAACACTGGGGGTTCCGCGATCGGCTGACCACCTGACCAGAACATCTGCTCCTGCACCTATTGTATTGTGAGATATTCTTGGTGGTATCCAATCAAGACACATGATAACAAAGGTATAAGTTTAATAAAACAATAAAACATAACATAACAATAACATGCTTACAGCACGTAACAAGGTTAGCGATGAACATCTATTACGAATGGGTATATATACTCTCTGGAAAGGTAAGGCAGCGCCGCTATTCAGAAACTACAGGCTGTCGTCGTTGACTCGTAGTGATGACGGAAGGTGACGTCGGTTGACATCACAACAGCACCCCAGAGCCCAAGGTCAAAAAAACTGAGATGGGCACAGTAGGCCTTGGCCCTCTATGGGCTGTCGCGCCACTGAGTTTAGTTTAGTATTCAATTTAATTTGAAAATAGCTGTTTAAGAAATGTTTTATTTATGAAATAAATTTCATTTATTAATACCTTATTAATATAAAGTTAATTAATATTTTCAAAGTGTATTAATCTAATAAATTTTTTACTTATTAAATAGTTATTTTCAAATTAACTATACAGCACATAACTATACAGCACTATCATTAAAAACGAACTAGATATTCACAGTTTATTGATTACTTTCTTTAACCGCTTCTCCTACCAATTTTTATGAAGAAAAAAAAAATTTAAAAATCAACATATTTTTTTATTTCATTAATAAATACAAGGAACTGAAACACAAGTTCTAAGTTGAAATTTTAATTTTTTTATGTGTAAAAAATATTTAATTTACCATCAGTTTACTATCCCAAATTATCTTGGGCAAATAAAAAAGTTAAATATTAGTCTTTGTATATGTTCACATTTTCATAATCTGAAAAATCACCTGCATTGCTTTTACTTTCTCTCGCGAACGCCATTTTTTTACTCCTTTTTTTTATGTAAATTCAGCAACCATCGTATATACAATTGCACAAAACACGTCTGCAATCCCACAAACAGCAAAACTCCCAAACAAAAATAGGCAAACTTCCAATCACAGCAGATTATCATTATTTTTTGCTTTGCTTTCGGCCAAGTAAAAACGTGATAAAAACAAAACATATTGACGAATTCTGCTATGCCCGAGTTTATTCGGGATAATAAATATTTTTAATATATACATACCCCAGTTAACTCGGGATAATGAGGAAAGCGGTTAATGGAATATTTCGATTAGCAGGTCAAGCACAAGTAATATTGGATAGTCCAAGAATTCTAAAAAGGGCCTTTCATAAAAGCAACTTTAAATTAGAAATATGTACTAAATGTTTTCACTACAGCGCGAGAACGCAAGATCCTCGCATATTTTTTTCTTTTCTCGCATTAAAAAATTATTACCGCGAGAAATTCGCGCATTCTATATATCAATTTCAAAATTCGCAAATTTCTCGCATTTTGGAAAAAGCTTCGAATTACGCCATTTAGAATAAAATCCGTTTCACTTTTCTTCCTGGATCTTTCATTATTTTTACCATTTGCCCCGTTATCTAGCTTCCATATTTACCAGTATTGTTTAGAACCTTTTCGAACAACAGAACACAACCCTTCCGAACCACGGAACCCCTTTCAGAACACATTTCTCTGCAACCACGTGTTTACCGTAGGTGAGGTTTTTTCATGTAAGACGTTCAAATTTTTTATGCACTAATGTAAGATGGACAAATACCTAGTAAAGGCAAAATCTTCTATGATAAAGCAGCAAAAATATTCAATGCTTTAAAAAATAGAACTCCAAACGTTAAAACGTTATAACGTTAAAAATTTATAATAAAAGAAATGATTTTTTTTTCAAGTCTATTTGTGTTTTTTTAGTTTTTAGAAATCTCACTTAACTTTCTAAAATCTCACTCTGTTTTTGAGAAAGGGTGGAAAAATTCTCACCCACTTTTTTTCTATGATGAAAACACTGACTAAATGCAAATCTTGTTTTAACTTAATAGTTATTTTTTTCTTAATATAGGGACCGAAAACGACATCATCGATTGGCTGCCAATACACAGTGAAAGTTCCGCTCAATCATCAACATCAAACAACTTTCAGAATTCGTCTTCATCATACTCCCTATCTTGTGAACCAGACTCTTTATTCCCCAATGGTCAAGACACTTTGGACTTCCTCGGTGATGACATGGACTTTAATTCGCCGAACGATTTGTTTTTCCCTTGGGGGGAGAAACCAGACTTTACCTAAATGAATATGCCATATCATTTAAATGCTCGAGATCGAACACTGAATTCATCTTTTGCTGGCTTTTCGCTGATTCACCACAAACCTCTGTTGAATTGAAACTTCATAAAAATTATCGTTCCTCATATCAATCCTTTGATGATAATAAAGTTTATACTGATGATGGAAGAGAACCCATTTAAAGACGATGGTTTGTCATGTGCCATATTCTATTGTGTGCCTTAATTTATGTGTGGACAGCGAGGGGACACCAAGGACAGCATGTCCGTCGCTTACAAGAAAGATTGGACCAGATAAGATTCCCTCCTAAATTGTGCCGCCCTATGTGTTGTATTATTTTTGATGTGGTTTGCATCATTTAGGAGCTTGTGGACCAATAGAGCTTTATCACATTTTTTTTTGTATTTACAATTAAGTATAAGGGGATACTTAATTCATGTCCAAGAAAAAAAAATGCCAAATTTTTGAATATGATGTTTTGAATACTTGAAATAAGGCTTTTCTTTTTCAATGTTATTCCTACTGAATATGCCTTTCTGTTTGAAAAGTTGTTAAAAAAACAACACCTTTAGCAAAAGTTCTATTTCTTTTTTTTAAAGCCCACATTTATATTAGAAATTTAGTGTCTTGACAAATTTTAAAAACATACAGTAAGATTTTACCTATTTGACTGTTAACCGTAAATCACATGTCTTTAGACTTCTTAAATTTTCATTTGGTATGAGGAGTGACTAAGTACTCAGACCACAAACAGGAATTTTTTTTTTAATTCAGACTTACTAGCCACAACATCATTGTGGTATTTTTCAAATAATATAAATTATAAAAAATAAAAAAAAATTCTCCAAATAATAGAAACTTTTAACACTAACATTTTACACCCCTTGACGCATGCATGTTCTGATGTAATTCAGGTTTCCCACTTATTTTTAGATATAAAATTCCCTGACTTTCCTAGGTTTTCCAAGAAATTCCACTTTACATTTTTGCAATATTTCATGCAAAAAAAGTTTTTTTTTATTCAATAAGCAATGAAACTTACTTTGTCACAGAAAATATGTCAAATGCTACAGCTTTGCAAAAAACAAAATTTTAGTACTTGATTTAACTATTGATAAAATCAATATTTTGCACAAAAACTGGGGAAAATTTTAAAAAATTCAACGTATAGTTTATGAAGAGTCAGTTATAAGAGATTTTACTTACAATTTAGAACCAAAATTAATGTATACAGAAAGTTTAATAAAAAATTAAAAATTATAGTATTATTGAACTGAAAAAAGAAATTTGATAACCAAGTAATTTTTATTTATTAATAATTAAAACTTTATTGCAGATATAAAAAAAATTAACAATGTGTGCAACATTTTACAAGAAATAATAAAATTAGATGTCTAACTTGTTACTTTAAATTTCAAAATTGTTTATTTTCTGGGTTTGCTGCAAGACTTTCCCTGGTTTTGACTAAAAAACCACATTATTCCTTGACAATCCTCTGACCTTTTTTTCCCCCAAATTCTCTAACAATTCCAAATTTCCATAACCCAGAGGGAACTCTGGTAATGTGTGTGCGCTGTTTTCCGTGATCAGTGTTGTGGGCATGCACAGAGACTTCAGAACTTGTGTATGTGAATGTGGGTTAGTGTGAAAGGTTAATGCTAAAAGTGTAACTTAAAGTCTATTTGTACCTTAATATTATTTAAATTTGTTGTCAAATATGTAAAGCATGAACCCAAATTAGAACATTAGATTTTAAAACTGTACACTTATTTATACAAATAGGGTTCCATTTGTTATAATTTTTCAACTTATTGCAATTGTAACAAATTAGAGATTTTTTCATAAAATGAGGTTTAAAATCAACCAATTTCTTAACAGCAAAATTTCTAGCTTAAAATAATTTGTTAATATACTGTTTAAAAAAAAGTAGTTCACATTGATTAATAATGTAAAAATTTCTTGGAACTTTAGATATATATATATTGCGTAAGAAAGAAATATTACACAAAATTGATGTGTAACTATCGGCATGAAACAAACTTATAAAAACAGATATTATGCATATATCTGGACGAATATCCTATGAAACTCCCCAGACCACAAAACACACTTTGAACCATATCATTCGATGTGTGAGGACCAAAAAATTTAGGAAATAGAATCATTAGATTGTGGTGAAATCCACTGTAGTTTGAACTCTCAAATTTTATGAAAGCCATTTATTAAAAAAAAAATTTTTTAGTTATTGACGTTATATGTTAGGAATTTATATTTTTCATACTATTTTTTCATTACTTTATGATTCACATTTATGAAAATATGGTCCCTTATTATAGTATTGTTTTTTATTTTGAAAATTTTAATAAATTAGGTTATAAATATTTGAATAAGAACCAATAAAAGAATTTTTATTTTCATTTTTACACTAAAACTGGTCTATTTTAAAGTGAAAATCTAACATCAACATTAAATTTCAATAATAATGTCATTAAAAGTGTTTCAAATATGGCCAAAAAACATAATTATAAAAAATTTTAAATAAAAATTAAATTAAACCATTATGATTTATATAGTAATTTACTTTTATGTGTATTATTCAAATTAAAAATAAAGATTAAATTTGAAATCTAAGTACAGAATTCAAAAGAAAACATTTTTGCTCAAACAATTTTGTTCTTTTTCTTAGTGTTTTTTAAATAAATATACAAAGATATTTTTAAGAAAGATATTTATAAAGAGTGAATAATTTTGTAAAAATTTAATACACATGTACAGTCAAATATATAATTCTAAATAGCTTAATTAAGAAACAGCAAAAAAAAAGTAACGTTGGAAATTTGAATATAGATTTTTACTTTATTACTAAAGTGCAATAAAAATCAACAATGATTTAAAGAAATGACACTATTAAAAATTAAGATTATACGTTTCACTTAATTACAAGTGTCGTAGAAGTGTAGTGAGCAATTATATATAATTTTAGAAAAAGTTCTATCTTTTACTCATTGTAAAAACTTCTTTGTGTCAAATAAAAAAATATCATTTAATAATTATCACACTCTTTGTAGTTAGTTGATAATTTTTAAAATAACTGTTGAATTTAATGAAATTCTAAAAGTGGTGAAGGACTGGAAAACTGGAATAGAATTGTTATCATTTAAAATTTGTTCTGAAATTGAATTTGTTAATGGGTCAATTTACATGTTTTGATAGATACCTTTTGACTTCAGATACTTATAATATAAATGCAGCATATTTATCTGTGTAAAATATAAAATAAATGCTGCATTTTATTTTGTAAAAATTTTGTACAGGCAATTAAGTTATAAAAATTTGTAAATTAGTTTATACAAAAATAGATTTTATGGTGCCTTATAATGTTATGACCGGTGAGTTTAAAGGCCGAAAATGAATTGAGATTCTCAATTGTTGGTATTCGAAAATGTATTTAGTTTCTTAGAAATGGAGATATAAAACTCAGCTGTGCCCTTGTTGCTTTGCTGACTTGAAATTGATAATTTTATTTTGTACATATTGGCTTATTCTTGTTCTGATATGTTTTTTTTTTTTTTTTTGTTAAAAGGCTTGTCGAATAAAAAATTCTAAGAGTGATTCTTCTTTTCTAATTTTTTTATGACTTATTTCTGCATTACAAGAATCCCCAAAAGTTGCCTTAAATATATAGTGTCACATTTACAAAATTGTATCTCAGAATTTGAAAATACAAACTTAACATGTGAGAAAAAATAATGATAATTGAATTAATTAAACTTTGTAATGTAGCAATTAATTACCTTTTATATTTACTAATGGTATAATGCTGAAAACTATATGTTTAGAAAACAAAAACTAATAATTAGAAAAAAGAGCTAACACTATAATTACAATAATGTGATTCGAATACATTTGCAGTGCATATAGGATCTGTTAAAAGAAAAAGTGCTCAGAAAATTATGGAATTTTTAATCGATTTTTGACAAAAACATGATATTTTGAGCACCAGGAAATCTTAATTTAAATTTACTTCTAAAACTGATAACTATTAAGCTAAAACTTAAATAGTATTTTGTTATCTACATAAATTTCAGACAACTATTTAATTTTTCAAAAGACTCTTTAAATAGTGATTTTTTAAAATATTAAATCAATACATTAAAAATAAAAAAACAGAGTAAGAATTACAAGGTACCAAAAAAAAATTTTTGTGATGTGAGTGAGCAAAATGCTGATGGTAAATATTAAATACAGCATTTTACTCGCTCACATAAAATATTAAGAAAGAACGATAAAGAATTATGACAAGTAAATACCTTTAAATGATAAAAAATTAAATAATCTAAAAGTAAATAACTAAGAAACTTTCTTTTCAATGGCGTGTCTTTGGGGTCTATTTCCCATAGGCCTCAGAAATGCCAGAACTGCTACTCTCTTATCATTACCCAGTGGGTACCTGTGGCTAAGCCACCGTGGCCGAGTAGCGTCGCCCATGTCATACAACCACAAACCCGTTTATAGGTCGAGTTACATTCACACAGAAGAAAGGACATAGAACAGAAAGAGAAAGTTACATCCATGCCTACAGTGGGATTCGAACCCATAACCACTAGCCCCGTAGTTCAATTCAGTAACCACTAGACTAGATGATCGGCATAACTAAGAAACTTTACCATTCTTCTGGCCAGTAAGAATGTGCTGACAACATAAAAAATCGCTTTAGACCATTTTATTTATACGTTACATTAAGAAACAAAACAACTTTGTTACACTTATAAATCGCTAATATATGAAACATCATTATTAAAAAATTAGAAATTTTCAAAGACCTAATTGCATTCTTATCTTCTAAAAGAGTTTATTAAGATATTTATTGTAACGAATTTAAATAGTATTAAATTAAACAAAATGACAAAAAAGTGGAATGACTTAAAGTGCCTGGATGTGTGTGTGTAGGGCCTGTATTTACTTGAAACAGTACTTCATTTAACATAAGGCGACAAAGTTACAGAAAATCTCATGAATAACTCTAAATCAACTTTTTAACATTAATTTTTGTAATACAGTCGAACCCCGCTTTAGCGAATTCCTAGGGGACGAAGCAATCACTATGCAATAACGAAAATTCGTTATACCTATATTACGAATTTCAACATTAACCAAAATTATTTTGTTACATTGGAATTTTTTGCATAAAAAAATCATAAATATTGCATTTAATTACAGTTGTGATCTATTTGTACTCAACATTTAGAAAATATCAAATCAATATTTTAAAAGCTCACAAAAACAATTAAATTAAAAGGAAGTATGGATTTATTATCACTTACCTATCAGAAATTACGTAATCAGTAATTTTTTTCTGTATAAGTGATTTAGAACCAGTAGAAATTACAAACTTTGCCAAATAATGCACATTTTCAAACAACTGAACTGGAAATCACTCTTTTAGAAAGCCAAATGTATTCTTACTTCTTCAAACAGGAACGGGTTGGTTGGCTGAATGGGGTTTAGTCTTTTCAGGGTGGTCCCTTCCGAGAGATTTGTCTTTTTTTTTATATATATATATGTTCCTTTCATATCTGAAACTTTTTATTTTGAAGATGCAAAAATATTTGAATTCTGAGATCATTGTGAACTTTTGAAGAATGGAAAAGTGTTTTGATCATGAGAGAAATTGAGAATTGTTGCTTATTTTCAACTCTCTAAAATCAGATTATGAATTTCGTAATATTGGTATTTTTAATTCATTGTTTCTATTGAGAATCATTTTTGGATTCGGAAAATATTCGTCACATTGAAATTTCGTTAAAACGGGATTTGACTGTATACACTTATAAATAAACAATTTCATTAATAGAAGAAAAAAAAGGAAATTTCTTGGCCTAACTGAATATTTAGCAAGATTGGCTTACAACGGAGTATGTGGTGCATCCCTAGAAGCGAAATATAAAAACTTGTTACAAAGAATTTTTTTCAATATTTATTCCAAATATTTTTATTTTCACTTTTTTTTAATGTGAAAGAATTTGTGTAACTGAATTTTTGTACTAATTTTACCAACTGAGAAAAGAATGTTCCAAAACATAATTCAATTTCAATGAAATCATAAGAAATGGAATACAAATAAGTTTCATAGATGTTATATATTCAAGTTTACTTCCTACCAAGTGTAATTACAACTATAACATTAATTGTAATTTAAAAAAATTATAATTAAATACAAATTTATAATTAAATTAATTGTAGTTACAACAACTATAAATTATTGATTTTTGCTGTCAAATGTGTGGCATTCGACAGAATAAGTACAAGTGCCATGGCAGCATTGGTCCATTAAGAGCTAAATTACATAAAAGCAGTTTCTTAATTCTATAATAATATATAAACTTAATTTATAAATTCTATTTTAGAAGTTTAATAACATTTTCAAGTTATAAAAAATAACTTCATTTAATACAAATTGATAATTTTTCATAAATGAAGTAATTTGATTTAGTTATATAACTTAAATCCATGTAATCTGCCGAAACAAAGGCAAAATTATTCAATTAAAAGTTAAGCACTTTTAATGAAAATTTGACTAATAAAAACATAATATTCAATTATAATTTTATATAAATTAAAATATATTCATAAGGTTTTAGAAGTCCCAATGTTCTTATTTAAGAACAGATACTTAACTTTTTTATCAGAGCATAATGTTCCATCATAATTAAACATTAGTATATTCTGATGAAAAAATTAAGTATCTGTGTTATCTATATTAATGTTTCCTCATAATTAAACATTAATTATTGTCCTTTAAACATTACTGGACAATAATTTGCAATTATTTTGCTTTTAAAGTATTAGTACACAATAAATTTTTAAAAAATCCACCTTGTGGAAAAATTGATTTTTTCAAGCAGGCCCACACAAAAAAAAAAATTTCTTATCAGCAAACATGCGTTTGCACATATTTATCCGATGTTTTGTTAAAAAAGTTAATAAAGTGAATTTAAATTTAAAAAATCAGAATATAAAGAGTGTGAAATCTTCAAGATTATGATAAAATATGCTATTTTGTGACAAAAAACCAAAATCAAAACAGCATATCAACCCTTACATCGATTACCAGTCTTGGGAACCACTAATAATTATTTTATTGTGGTTGGAGTCAAGCTTCAGTGCCCACCATTAATATTAAGACCTGAATAATAATTTTTTGAAACAATAATCTTCAATGCTTAATTATGTAAATGTAACAATGAGAAAGTAAATTTTATAAGAAATTAAAAAAATTATCTCAATTTTATTGAAGAACAAATAAAAAAAAAATTTCTATGTAAATCTTTAGAGAACTCAATAGTTGTAGTGGAATGACTTGATTTTTATTTTTTACATAATATTTATAGTATTCCAGAAAAACGGAATTAATATTAAAAATAATGAAAGGTTTTTTTAAAGAATAATAGTAGAAAATGGGGAACTTAGTAATTTAATTTTGCACCTAGTTTTAAATCAATTTATATGAATGAAGATTCTTCTGTTTTATTTCTAATATATAAATTTATTCAATTCCAAAACTGTTCAACTGATTCATAAATAAAAATTTAGAAATAAATCATTTTTATAACAAAACATACCAACATTTCTTTAATAAAAGAAAAAAAAAACAAAGCAAGTTACATTAAAAACAAATGAATGTAAATATATTTATTAACTTTAAAAGAAAAGAAAAATAAACTACAGTAAGAAAGTTTTGTATTTGCTTACACATTTATAAAAGATAATTATTGACTTCCTTACTTCATGAAAGTTAAAGTAATTTAAGAATAAAAATGACTTTCTTTAATGGGTTTTAAAAAAAAATTTTATACTTAAAAGCGAACTTAATCTTAATCTTCCTTTACACTTTTTCCAAAGGAAAAATTTTGTAAAAACCTGTGCGAATTTTATTATAATTACACGCAATACAAAAATAAATAAAATGAAGTACAAAAATACCATATTCAAAGCAAAAGTAATTTTCAAAAAAATATAAATTCACAAACATATTTGAGATGCAATTTGCAATTTAAGATTTGAGATGCAATTTTTGCAATTTAAGTAAATATTTTCAAATACTAAACTTAAATTGCAAAAGAAAAAAAATAGTAGTAAATTGTTGGATAAATGAATCACAATTCTTATAAAATTGATAAATAATAATGAAAGAAAAACTTACATTTGTTTATGACCTTTTTCATCCCAATTTATGTCATTCTAGATTGAGGCACAGTTTGATGTCCATCTTCAGAAAAAATCCTTTACTTTAGGGAAAAAGTCCTTTCTAATGAGACTGAAAACAAGAAAGTAAAAATTACAATCAAGGAGTTATCTACGGACATATTAACTGCGGAATATTTCAAAACAGGGTTGTATTTTGTCTGAAGGGGTCTGCTTAAAATTAAACAAACTAAATTTACTATACAAATTAAATATAATATAGCACCAGAAAACAAAAAAGTTTTTCACATCAAAAATATAACTCTCTTTGTATTATTTTTCTTAGTTTTATACGGAAATTTATAATCTAATCATATTATTTAAGGGTCAATTGGAGTATTCATATTTAACAGCATTTCATTATTAAAATTAGTCAGCTATTTCCTTTTTATAGGAAATTCAAAATATGAGTAGTGCATGTGTTATTTGTTATTTCAGTAGTATTAATAAAAATTGATTATGATATTATAACAGTTGATTTAATTATAAATCAACATTTTATTCTCATGAACTATTCATAGTAATATATTGTTTCAATTAAAAGTATTTGAAAATAATAGAATGATGAAAAGGGGTAAAAATGGCAATTGGTTTGCATAAATATATACATATAAAAAGTATGATTTAGATCTAATGACATGATAATAAATAAAAAATTAAATTCAGTTATATATTTAAGCATAAAGGAACAATAAGTATATGAACATGTTAATTAACATAATGCAGTATTAAATAAAATAATATACAACAAAAATATTTTTAATGACTTTGAATGCTTTCTTTGTTAAAATGCTTTTTCACATAAGTAATGTATTTTGAAAATATTGCACAAATAAATAAAAAACATATTGCATATACAGAGCGCACGCTAAGGATTTCAAATTAGCTAGTTAATCAGTCAAATATCAAAAGTATTTGCTTTTTTGAAAGTCTTCGTCAATGCAAATCTTAAGAATTTTTAACAATTAATTTTTTTCTCATAGAAAACTATTTTATGGTAGTTTGTTCCAGGCTTATATTATTTCGATCCAATTCTAATTAGTTATGCGGCACATCTACCAAAAATTACAGTAATTGAAAAAAATACTAATTTGTTTAAAAAATTCATTTTGAAGAAATTTTGAGAATAGACTTAGTTCAAAACACATTGGTTTAAACCAGCTGATTCTGATTTTTTTTGTTAAGAACAAGATTAACAAAATTAAAAGAAAATTCATTGGATACAAAAAGGATAAAAGTGGACAAAATTAATTACATAAAAAAATACCTAAAATACTTTTTTTTTCATACTAAAATTTTTTAACTGTATTGTGAAAAAATATCCAGTTTTTTTAATATAAAAAGATAAAATTATTAAGTTGAAAGATGAAAATACTTTACCCGTTATACTTACATTACTAAGTTGAAAGAGATGTTGAATAATTCTCTATACATAACATGTTCGTGAAAATGAAATTTATTCTCAATACATTTTTAAAAATATTTTTACGAACCTCAAGTTCCTGATGCTCTTAAAATGGAGTCGAGAACAGTTAGACTTTAAGACATCTTCATGTCATGAATCTCAGAAGTTAATAAGTCTCATACAATTTCAGAATTACCCATGTTATGAAAATGGGATTTCAGAAGAGAATAAGATTCATCCTGGCATCAGAATTATTGTTATCCCTATAAACAAAATATATACTTCAATTAAACAAAACTTTTCGTAGTTTTTTAAACACAAAATAAATCAGAAAATACCTATGAATAAATGTTTTCAACAAGGTTTTTTATTTGCATAATTGTTTTTTAAAATATAGGGTGACCTGGGGAAACTGATCAAAAACTTCCTGATCAAAAAACACAAACATCTATTTTGTGCAAAAACTATTCAAAATAGAATTTTAATATTTATTGGAAGTTTGAGGCTATATGAGATGAGTCCAATGCCACCTTCTTTTGTTTGAAAATCCAACTAGAATTTAAAACATTTTAAATTTTTAGTGATTAGGAATAACCCCTGGTCTTGATCACTTCTGGGGTAATTCCTGATCACTTCTGGGGTAATTACTGATCACCAGTTTTTTTTGTAAAGGGGCCGTTTAAAAATAATTATATAATGATAATTAACAAATAAGACATCAAGGTCAAACAAATAAACCAAAAAGATATGCTTAAGCAGCTAATAAAATGATTTATTTAAAAGCAAGAAGAACGATTAACACTTTAAATTTTCAAAAATCTTTGCATCGTGCCATACATTTTAGGCAATCAGCCAACTCATTCTCATGTTCTTCTGAAATATAAGAGAGTTCCCACATGGGTTACTTTTGCTGGATTTTTTAACTTCATTAAGGGAAAGTGTAAAGTTAAGTAAGGTATGTCAACAGCTCTGGCAGCAGCTCTCACACTGAAATTTTCATTTTCAATCATTAAAAGAAATTCACTAATTTTGTTTTCTAGAAGCTTAGTATCCTTTTTAGGCTTATAATTTCTCACCATATTTATACTAGGCTAATTTATAAACTTAAAAATTATTCTAACAATGTACACACATAAAATTAAGATAGAAGCAAGGTAAGACAAACCAGAAATGGTGCAAATCAGAATACAGTCTTGTATACAGTTAAAAACAAATTTTGTGATGACAGTTAAAATATATTTTATAGTTGTTCCACTTAATAAATATGAACTGTTATTTAAGAAAAGACAATTAGCTATTTATTAGCTATTTTATATACTATTTATAAGAAGAAATGACAATGATCAGGAATTACCCCAGTGATCAATAATTACCCCATCTGTAGGGGGCAACATTTGATATAGTTTCCTATAATCAATTATAATGTTTACAGTAGATGTGAAACAATTAAACAAAAGCTTACACTATTTTTATATCAAAGAAAAAGAAAGTAACTCAAAATATTTATTATTAAGAGAAGGAGGGGGATCTTTGCAGAAATGTGCACATTTTGAAACCCATCTTTGAAATGGAAAATACAGAAAGCATTTTAAAAGATACTTATTTTGTTAGATTAAACAAAAAACTATTATTAAGTAAATGTAGTTATACTTTAGTAAAGTGTACAAGCATTCTTGTCCATGTCTCAAATTTAAAAAAAAATTATTTTTTAAAAATAAAACTTAGGTGATCATTATTTACCCCAGAAATAGAGTGATCGTGAATTACCCCAGGTCACCCTACTGAATAAAAACTTAATTTTTTTCCTAAATGCTGTTAAATTTCACCTTAATTTTTAGAAAATTTCAATTTGCGAGAAAAAGCCTCGTTGGAAAATTAATGATAATAATATAGCAGAAATATTTTCCAAGCAATAACAAGAAAAAAAACTTGAATGTACTGTTTCCTTTAAGTTGCACAGATCTGTCTGGGATATTTCCGCATCGTGATCTGTCATGCCAACTACAATCACCAAGATGCCTAATAGTTTTAATTTGCAAATTTAAAAAAAAAAAAAAAAACACGTACTTGTTTGCCCAGAGGTGACTACGAGTTGGCCTATTTATGTGATTTTTTTTTCGTCTTCAGTTTTTCGCGGGTCGCTGCCCGGAATTTGCCACAACTTGGCGATTATTCTGCGACAGATCACAATACAGAAATTTCTTTGATTTATCAACATAAAAGGAGAACAATTTTATACCTGAAAAATCACAAGCTTTAAGTTTTCAAAAATATTCCAAATAGCAGGCATTTCAGCAATATAAATATTAAAAACTAATTTAAAAACTATGTAAAATAAAACATTAAAAAAAGCTACTGTACAGGTGAATAATTTGCTCTCAAAGTAGATTACAATATTTTGTTATTGTAATTACAATTTCAATATTTTAATTGACACATAACTTTTGACATTTTATTGACTGGCAATTTCACACATAAACTATTCCGTGTGACTAGTTATTATCTTGTAATTGAATATTGAAGTAAAGTAAGTAAATCACTTTAAAGATTGATTTCAAGCCAAAACATTGTCGACTGATGATGAGCTAACTCGACATTGCAAATACAATGACCAGTTGACATCGGTCGACAACTTTTGGGCATGAAAAGTTTGTCACCAGTTAGCAATGTGTTAAGATAAGACCTAGCTGATTTAGTCTGCAATAAAATGATTTTTTTTATAATAATTAGTTGGAGGAGAAGCAATAGACGAGTGAAACTTTTTGCGCAAATTTTTTCTTTTGTTTTGACTTCCTAGTAGAGGTAGTAATGTCTGTTTAAGCTTACATTTGATTTCTTTATTTTCAACATATTCTGTTATTATTTTCCTATTTCATAATTGATTTTAAAATAATCTCAGAGGTAATTTCTATGATTAAAACTGTTGATATGATAAAGAATTTAAAATGTCTCTTTTGGTGCAAAATTAGCAAAGCATCTGATGATTGAAAAAAAATATTAATAATATATTTGTTTCAGTTTAAAAACAAATGCATTTGATGGAAGTTCAGAAACTTCATTTACATGCTTTAGTGCATCAAATACGCCAAAAATTGTAGAGGGGTGAGAAAAAAAATTGTGAGGTGTCCTTTGAGATGCGCAATTTTCCATTAAGAAAAATAAGAAAATAACACACAGGCAGGTTTACCTGTATGATGGCAAAATTAAACAACTTAAAAAGAAAATTGCAGCTTTTTCTGAATGGAAGTATTTAGTAATCAGTTCTAATTTAAAATTTTAATTTCAAACAGAGATGATAAAAATTATGATTTTAAATTTTGTTTAAAAGCAATATTATAACTTAAGTACTTAATAATTTGAACCAAAACAGTTAAAACTATAATTATAACATATTAATCACTGGAAAAATAAAAATCATAGCTGGTTTTACTCAAGCTCAATACTCTCATGAATTTATAAAGTAAAAGACCAAATGTGTCAGTCAGGTATCAAATAAAAAATTTAGATGCGGAAAAAAAAAATTCTAAATTACTTTTATCAGAAAAAGTCATTCTTCTTTATTTTTCTATACATGAAGTGTTAAAAGTATTTTCAGTCATATAAATAAAACATTAAATTGGTAAAGTTGAAATTGAAATATGTTAATTAAATAGATAATTATTTTAAATGGAAAGTTATAAATTTAAAGTATCATTACTTTAATCCACACTCAGTTTTTTTATTATTATTATTAGTTCTTAGTCTATTTCGAACATCAAATAAAAATTTACATAAACTACCCTTTCATTATTTCTCTGATTAAAACCTTTAATTTTAATGAGGAAATATATATATAACATACAGGAACGCTGTTTGAAAATTTGTCACCATTGCGAACATTTTTTTAATATTACAATTATAAACAAAAACAAACAAAATTAAACTACTTTATCGTTATCCCACAGTCAATATTTTTAAATATTGAGGGAAATTTGTTAGTATTACTCATTTGCTCATTAGTATTACTCATCTCATCATCAAAAAAAAAAAAATCACATTTCTCTAATTTTAAACTGCGCAGATCAATTTGGCAAAGATTTATATGAGAGTTTCTTCTTGGTTACTTTTAAGGACAAAAACTGGACATTTTTTGAGAACAATTTCAGGATTTGTTAATAGGTACGAAATTTATCTTTACAAAAATAACAAACCAGTGATGTATCATCATATTAATGACATAAACTAATAAATAAAGTAATAATCTTTACTCAAACCTTATAACTTCTCTCATGAATATATTTACCTTTTATTGTGATGAATTGTGAACCCATAATTCTGTTAAATTTTATATATTTTTATTCATTTCATGTTTCCTTCTCAGCTCATAGTTTCCTTTCTTTGGTCACACAATAAGAACTATCCTCTGAATCATTCTTAGTACGATAAAATGCATAAGTAAAACCTAAAACTAATAAATTATTAGGTTATGGGCCATTCATAAAAGATGTTGGGAGTATTTCCACATCAATACCTGCAGAAAAATAATCGCTCCGCCCAGTTATGGCGCCTTCCAACCAATGGCCCACCAGAAACTAAAATTAACACCACAGAAGGAACCAACTTGAGGGGTAGTAAGACATAGCTAGCCCCCAAGCAAACCCTTATAAATTTTTTATTTTATTTTTTAAAATTTTGCAAATTTAAAATTCTTTGGGCACCTTGGAGATTGTATATGAACAGGCATTGATACGGAAATATTTCCCTGCTATTATGCTTCAATCGGCTTCCTGAAATTGTGACGTGGAGGAAAAGGGGATATTTCCATATCCTGATCTGTTGCACCAACTACAATCGCCAGGGTGCCAAATAGATTTTAAATTTGCAAATTTTTTTCTTCAAAAAAACATGTAGATGTTTGCTTGGGAGTGGTTACAAGTTAAATATTTCGAGTTGGTTCCTTTCTGGGATGTTTTTATTTTTTATTTTCTCGCGGGGCGCTGCCCAGAAGTTTCCAAGATTTGGCGATTATTCTGCCACAGATCAGGATACAGAAATCTCCCCGAGGAAATGGTCATGAAGTCAAATATCTAAAAGATTCATTAACATAAAAATATTTAAAATCAGGAAATTAATTATATTTATATGGTTTCTTTTATATTAGCATTTATAATTATATTTTAAATATCATATATGACACATATAATTATTATTGTTACGCTCACAAATGCAATTAATAAAACATATTTAAAATTAAAAAACATAATTTGAAATACTTTATGTATCAAGAGTTTTGTTTCTAAACTACTAGCACATGTTAATGCAAAATAGTGTGACAAGGGGGGTATAGTGAAGTGTGCCACTTTGGGGCAAGGGAGCTGAGAGGCTCAGCAGAGGTGCAGAATATGATCCCAGGAACAAAGTTCAGAGAAAATTCAGGCAGCCCTGGGTAATTTTTTATCGTAAAAAAATAATAATATGTGTCACTTTAGAACATTTTTCTCGGTAAAATTTTTTTTTTTATGTCTGTTTGCTTCTCCCCTTTTTAAAACCTGAAAACATCTCAATTGTGTGAAAAAGTGCAAATGTTTAAGATTCGGACTCATGGAACAAAATCACTTCTAACGTAAGTTATTAACTAAACCATACAACTTTCAAATATGTACTTTTAAAAACACTTACTTTGAAAAAAAAAATTTTAAGGAACCTCTAAGATTAATACTAACGTAAAAAAAAATTACAAATGTATATTATGACTGTGATAGAATTAATTTATTAAAATCCCTGAATTCAGACGGACCGGTTAGTTGACCAAAGACGTCTGAGCTGCACTTTATGCATTATCTTCCTAGCTAGTTATAGCTCGCAAAGAATAAAACGGAGACTGAAGGGCCATTCTTACTTGATACAAAAATCTGGGGAGTGACCGGTTTCTCACCTTTAGCCCTTCTCCCTTCCCTCTCCTCCTCTCTTCAGTTGTATATGGATGAGTGATCGTGTAAAGCTAAGGGTGGTGGCGCTAGTGGTAAAATTGCTCTTTCCAGGTTTCCGGGTTACTGCTTCCGATATATTTTTACGCCGCAGATTGAAAAAACGCGCCATCATATTATTGCATCATATCTTTTGCAGTATTTCACATGTACCGAGTTCTTTCTTTCAGCCTTTAAACTTCAGCATTATCATATTAATATTATAATCATTAGAATATTTTCTAATTAGGCTAACTTAAAAAGATATTTTTGGCGACATTTTATTCAAATGTAGCCAAATAAGGGATAAAATACAAAACATGGCAAACCTTAAGAATTATTCACAATGAGATATTAACTTTCCAAAATTTTTTTTGGCCTTACGACCTCTGAGAATCAATACATTTCTGAAAGCTCTTATGAATGGTACAATTATGTTTAGATTTGAACTCAAATTACAATAACAAAACTGCATAGAATATTAGGCTTGTTCACACATCGCCTCGTAGTCATAACATGAGCGGAGGGATACACCGGAAATTTTCTAAATTTCTTCCGGTTTAAGGACGCTTGTTATTGTTTACATTAGACCACCCATCCATACTACAATATTTTTCCTTTTTATTCATTAAAAATATTTTTTTAAATTTCCATGATACTTTTCTTTAGAACTATGTTTAATGTAGTTTTCAGTTCCATATAGTTTTCCAATTTAAAAGACTTGAATCTATATGAAAATAAAGAGAGAAACTAACGTACTTCCTTCCTCTATGACTCTCCACACGCTAATGGGGAAAGCATGTGAAGTGTTGCCATAGGTAGAGAGTTCTGTTCCACGCCCCCTGCAGCCCATTTTGATCGCCAATAATCGATATTTATAATTAAAAATGCTAGTTTTATTTATACTATATGCAATAAAATTTTACGAATGACAATAGTAATCATAACAAAATGTTCGATATTACCCGGATTTGATAAATAATCACCATACTTGAAAACAAAGTTAAACTTAGGAATACAGAATGTGGAACGCAATAAGGAAAACTGAATGATATCTAAGCTTGTGAAATCTTATATCATTCAAACAGTTAAAATTGTAATAATATTTTCAATATTGAATATTTTAAAAGATTTTTATATGAAAATTTTTACCTGGAAACCTTTAATCTCTCTCTCATTATTTTTTTCTTTCATATTACTTTTTTTTTCCTGTTATTATTATTTTTAATTTTTTTAACTAGTGATGTAAAATACCTACCGTTTTTGAAAGACGATGAAAAAACAAAAACAAAAAAAACACTGGAGTTGAGTTTTGGGAAATATGCGAAAGATTTTAAGGCAATCAAAATTGGCCTTATTTTAATTTAAATTTAGAGATCATAAAATTTAATAAAACAGCTGCAATATGAAAAGGTAGCTATTACATTTGAGCAGATATACAGTGTGTTCCAAAATTATCTTTACAACTTCAAAAATTCATAACTTCGAACATAAACAAGATATTTTTATTCTGTCTTTTGCATGTATTACTGCAACTAATAAAGTTTTTTTTCAATAGGCTGAAAAGTTTTAAGTGAGGATGTGGACACCACAACAGAAAGCTCAATGCGTCTCATGGCCGTATTCGCTCCACATTTTTTAGGTCATCAAA